TTTTAGACCAGAACGGGATACTTAGAGCGGGTGGAAGATTAGAACATTCTAGTTTGTCACACGATGAAAAACATCCGGAAATTCTTTTAAAAGACTCCTGGCTAACAAATTTGATAGTAGACAGTGCACATGTTAAAATGATGCATGGAGGAGTAGCAACGACCTTAGCTGAAATTCGAAGTCGCTTTTGGATCCCAAAAGGACGTCAATTTATCAAGAAAATAATAAACAAGTGTCTTATTTGTAAAAGATACTCATTGAAATCTGCTGACCAGACCACTTCTCTACTTCCAGAAGACAGAATCAATGAGACACCATCATTCTACGTGTCTGGCATCGATTTTGCTGGGCCGATTTACGTAAAAACATCGAAGGTAGTCAAAAAGCCTATGTAACATTATTTACATGCGCTATCACTAGAGCCATACATGTGGAACTTGTACCGAATCTCTCTACAGATTCTTTCTTGATGGCATTCAAAAGATTCACATCTAGGAGAGGCAATTGTCGAGTAATTTATTCAGACGACGCGAAAACTTTTAAAAAGGCAAAAAAAGAACTCTAACATTTCTCTAAACTATTGTCGAATGAGAAATTCCAAGATTTTCTGTCGAATGAAAGAATCAGTTGGAAGTTTATAATAGAATGAGGGGCTTGGTGGGGAGGCTTCTACGAGAGATTAGTAAAATCAATGAAAGAGTGCTTACGGAAAATTCTCGGTAAAGCTTTACTAACGTTTGAAGAATTGTCAACAGTTTTAGCATAAGTGGAAGCTGTTTTGAATTCTCGTCCTTTGACATATGTGTGCAATGACCACAAGGAACCGTTGCCACAGAAGCCAGTCAATTTTTTGATTTTTGGAAACAAAGATTCTACATTACCTATCAACTTTAATTCCATTGTTAAAGATTTCTCTACCAAGTCCTCTCTGACCAAAAGAAAGATTTATTGGTTAGGCAGTTGTGGACTAAATGGAAAAAAACAATATTTGATGGATCTTCGGACAGCTCATCAATTAAAAAATCCTAACGTTTATGATGATCTTGTTTTAATTAAGGCAACAATAAGTGCAAACATTTGTGGAACTGTGGCAGAGCGATAAACGTTTTTCGTGGTCGTGACAACAAAGTTCGTTCTTGTGAACTAAAAATAAACGACCAGTTGGAACAATAATAAAACGACCAGTTCACTTATTATATCCTTTAGCACTTTGAAAACATTTTTTATTGTTTAATAATATGAATATGATTGAATATGTTTTATGAAATTCTTTATTTTGCTAATTTAGTTTCACATGCTTAGATTAAGAATAGTTTAGATTTACTGAAGTAGTGTCAAATTGTATTTGATTAACATACCTTTTTTTAGAATTTAGTATAGTGATTATAATTTGAATATATTTTCTATTCATTTAATATACTTATCAATTGTTTTATAATTATATGTTAAAATACTTATTGCTATAAATTTGATTGTTGTTAGATTAATGTGAACTCTTGACAGAGTTCAGGTGGGGAGTATGTGGAAATTATTTTGATTAATAGATGGCGCTAGCGTTGCGTGTTAACGCGACGCGACGTGCCTTCTGAATTTCTATAGACTCTCCACCGGCAGCTCGATACATGGATGTCTGATGGTTCGCACACTATTTGATTAGGAACACTTCGGTTCCTATTTGATTTCGATTATGAAAGCATATAGATTTGTTTGTCAACTGAACCACCATATTTTGATCAATGATCTGTAAATATTGTACATATTAAAAGTTACATTTTAAAGTGATTGATGTCGATTTATAGATCTTAGAATATTTTGAAACACCGTGTGATGATCCCTTAAGATGACGGATAGTGATGTCATATTTCTGGAGTCTCTGTATCCACCTGGCTATTTGACCTTCAAAATTTTTGAAATTTAAAAGCCATGTCAATGATGCATGATCAGTTCGAAGCAGGAATTTTCTGCCGTATAGATAATGATGGAAATGCTCTACGGCTTATGGCGAGCAACTCTTTCCTGGTGACACAGTAATTCCTCTCCGGTTTAGACAAGCACTTGCTCCAGTAAGCCACTACACGCTTTTGGCCGTCTATTTCTTAGGACAAAACATCACCAACATTTTCATTGCTTGCGTCTGTGTCGGGAATAAATAGTCTGTCGAGCTGAGGATACGTTAGGATTGGAGCAGATGTTAAAGCTTCCTTTAAGTTGTTAAATGCATCCTCGCATTCTTTTGTCCACAAGAACTTTTGCTTGCTCTCTGTCAGCTTGTGAAGGGGTCTTGCGATGGAAGAAAAGTCCTTCACGAATCTCCTATAGTAGGTGCAAAGCCCTAGGAAGCTTCTCAGCTGATGGACATTTTCGGGACGTTTCGAGGATATAACTGCTGATACCTTTTCATGATCCGTGCACACACCTTTTGCAGAGATGACATGTCCCAGGCAAGTCACTTCCTTTCGGAACTATTTACATTTAGCGGGACTCAGTTACAGATTCGCTTCTTTCAGTTTCTGAAGCATATTTCTAAGATTTTCTAGATGTTCTTCAAAACTCTTTCCGACGATGATGATGTCGTCTAGGTATATCAGACAGGCTTCGTAGGAAAGACCTTTCAAAACAGTCTCCATGAGGCGTTCGAATGTTGCCGGCGCATTACACAGTCCAAACGGCATCACCTTGAACTGCCAGAGTCCTTGTCGAGTAGTAAATGCAGTCTTTTCTCGGTCATCAGAATGTATTTCTACCTCCAATACCCACTCTTTAAATCAAGTGTTCAGAACCACTTGCTTCCAGAAAGTGTGTCCAGAATGTTGTCAATTCTAGGAAGAGGGTAACTGTTTTTCTTCGTAACCTCATTCAACCGGCGATAGTTAACGCAAAATCTTGTTGAGCCGTCTTTCTTTCTGACGAGAATGATGGGAGATGCCCATGGACTTGCTGAAGGCTCGATGACATCGCCTTCTTCCATATCCTTTAAAGTGTTTGTACCTCTTCCTGTTTAGCCAACGGTAGACGTCTTGGATGTTGCTTGATCGGGGGATGATCACCGGTATAGATTCTATGTTGTGTGAACTAGTTCGACCCACGTCAGAAGACGAGCAGGAAAAAACAACTTGAAGATCTTTAATGACGGGATCGGCAGCATTCCTCTCTTTATCGTTTAATTGCGCATTCTACAATCACTCCGATGTAATGCTCTCTGAGGACACGGATTCTGGGATGTTACTCTTTCTTTCAAGACTGGTTACTGGAGTACATACTGCCACCACTTCACCTTTCTTAATAATTCTCGCCTTCTCATCACATTGGCGATCCTCACTGGGATAACCGTTCTGGATAGGTCGACGAGTGTTGAGGCTACTAGTACCCCTTTCGGGCTATATTTAACAGAAAGAGAACAGGTTATGCAAATGGCAAAATATATTTTTTCAGCATTTCTTTACGCAACTGAAAAATAATCATTGTAAAATGTAATGGTGATACTAAAGTTTTTCAGATTTTGTTTAGATGGTACATGTCGGTAAAAAGGTTGAGAACCACCGTGTTATAAGTAAGCAGAACTACGAGTTAGGATGCTAAATGGTATTTGTAAAATGAGTAGGAAACAATCTTGCAGGCAATATCACACTTGCATATTATTAAAAGCAATTTCTTATTTTAAAATCATTTAAATTTTTCCATAGAGTAAAGCACAAATAAAATTCAGTGAAACAAGTTAGTTACTTACAGTGAAGTTTCCTTATATTGCATTTTCTTAGTTATTAGCAAAATAGAATACTCACAAAAACTGAAAAGTCAGGCACTTTACCTTGGAATTCTGATGTTACACTTTTAACTCTCAAACATCTGCTAACAAGTTTTGTCTAGTTTATATTATGAAAAATTCAATGTTAATTGATATACACATAAAAATTTGGTAAATATGCAACATAAGTGGTTTAAATACATTAAAATTTCATCACACCAATAAATACAGCGATTTATCAGTCTGAATTTGTTACTCTAACATTGTTTCTTTAAGGTTAAGATACATTCATGTAAACCAATTAATTAATGCTAATTTTGTTTCAGACATTATTTATAATAATTTTTTATGTTCACAACTGGGTTCCTTTAAACTTCCTAATTTTTGTGAACGACTTAAGTGTGCGAAATTTCTACCGTTCAATTTTCTAAAATTTAATGGCAAGTTATGGCTCGAAAACAACGCCAGCATTGCTATAACATAGCATACAAGGTACATGTGATTGCATATGCTAAAGAATATGGAAACAGGACTGCAAAGAGGCATTTTGGGCCACCGCCAACTGAGAAAAGAACTGCGCAATAGCCTGAACTTGAGGCAGAGCTGAATACTTAGATTCTAGATCACAGAAAAGCGGGACTTTCAGTCTCTACAAAAATGATTTCCATCAAGCGAAAGCGATAGTGACTGATAGAGAGATTGCCAGTTTTACTGATAGTTATCATTGTATTCATGATTCATGAAGAGAAACGAGCTATGTACGAGGACTAAAAATATCACAAAAGATAGCAGACGAATACGAAGAAAAAATGATTGAATTTCATTGATTAGATATCAATTCCTCAGACATTTGATGTGCCCCTCAAACAAAACTGTATATTCCAATTATGCTAAAGCTTCACAGAACGAAAAAACTCGCTACACGGGTCTTGAGTTGTCTGGGTTTTGATGAAGAATATTAAAAAGTGTTTTTTTCCAGACAGATTTAGTACTTGCAGAAAGTATTACTTTGTAGTTATATTACTTTATATTTAAAATACTGTAAATTCATTATAATGATCAGTAATAAAGTCTTATCATTCAAAAACATGTACAAAAAAAGGGGGGTGCATCTTACAGGCCGTTATAAATATGTATAAAAAGGGGTTGCATCTTGTAGGCCAGTGCGTCCTATACACCGGCAAATACTATATTATTAGAAATAAGGATGTTACATGTATTTATGTCGGTATATAATATAAAAATTAACTTCAAATAAACCATCAACTTTATAATGCTTTATTAATCTATTGGAAAACAAAACAGCCAAATACATTTGTATTTCATTATACAATTAAAACAATTTCAGCAAAAGTAAGAGGGTCATGGAATGCACAGTACCCGTATTGCACACAGAAGCTGCTGTGCTTTCGAAAAATCAAATTTAAATTGCTACATTTAAAATTAGATTCTTTAATATGTTAATTAGACTTCAGAGCACATAACCACAGTCACCAGCTTTGTTAAGAATTTCAATAATCATCACAACATGACTATGGTGCTGCCACACAAACATCAAGTGATTTAAAGGCAATTGATAAAATCTAGAAAAGGCCATTTTGTTTCCTGGCTAGCTATACACAAGGAACTTCAAATGACTAGCCTTGACAACTATGGCAAGTAGTTAGGCACATGGACATGGAAGATAATGCTAAATATTAAATTTCTTTGCAGTTAAGAACATTACTACCCAGTGAAAAAAATGTATTTGCCTCACTAAAAAATAAAAAGCAAAAATGCTTTCTGATGAAAGTTAAGATCACATGAAACAAACTTCCAAAATTCATATAAACTAAACAATGATAAACAATCAAATAAAGCTAAGAAAATTAAACAAAGTGGCAAACGTTTCCAACGTAGCCCATTAAGAACATTTGTGATTAAATAACAATGTAAGGTTAAAAAACATGAACGAGTATCTAGCATTTAATGTAGAAAAGGCAATGAGACAAGTTTTATGCATAAAATTCAATGCCAATGTGAACATCAGCAATAAGTATGGGGTGCAGAGAAGATACAGCACAGATCAGAAGTGTTCACAGTTAAAATTCTTATAAGCTACATACATACAATAAATGCTTTTTAAAGTCCAAAAAGGCTGCTTGATAAGGTTACTTTAAAATCCAAAGATTAAATACTATTATTGTTTTCTTACTAATGTATCAACACATTTCTAGCAATGCGTAATATTGAAAGCCCGCACAGCCATGGTACCATAGAAAAAACAATTAAATATAATCTTTGGTAGCCCCCAAAATAACTATCCCATTAAACAAGCTCTTCTTGATAAAAACTAAAAAAGCTGTAAGAATATATGAAGTGACTTCTCGTCACAGTTTAAACATAAAATATCACGTCATTTTCAGTTTTTTTAACAAAATTCTTGCATAGAAGGAACTTTGTACAACAGAAATATTAACATAAAAGACTTCTTCTGAAGTCGTCCGATCAAACATTAGTTTTGGAACGTTACACCAACAATGAAAGTTCCTGTTTAACAGCAAATGAAAAGGCCTGCCAGTACATAAAAACACATTCCAATGAACATACATTGAAACAGGGGCAAAAAGAAATATCTGGCAGGTGCTTCCAAGCTAATTGCATGTGCAGTTATCAGTTCGTCATTCAGGAACATTTAACGGTTTGTCTTGTTACGCATCAGAGGTTTGTGATTCCGGTAAGTATCCACCGAGTGCTGCCATTGCCAGCAACTGCGACAGAAGTATCTAAAGCAAGCAGCATCTCTGCAGAATATTGGCCCTTGTTGAATCTGACAGCTAGAACAAATTGCATCTTCTAAATAAGGATCCACTTGCACCTGAAAGAAAATGAAACTCATGAATTTAAAAACTTAAAATGCATATATAAAGAATACATACAGAAGCTGATAAAATTTCATTATTATAGACAAAGCAAAATTATACATTTATTAATTTATACAATTTCAAACAGTCTGAAAGTAGAACAATATAATTTATCAAGTATTAAATTGATAATTTTTTATTCAAATTAAACAAATGTTACGTTAGAAACTTCAAAATTTAATACATATATTTATTCTGGTATTTTTCTGTTAACAGGGAACCATCTAGAGCCAAACACTTGAGCGAAATTTAACTCAACAGCGGCAATCCAAACATGTGAAGCTTAAACAAATATGAAAATGATGCATCGTAATATATTTATGTTTACGATACATATTGCCAAAGCTGTGAAGTTTAGATTTTTTTAAAGCAAGAATGGATAATGATACACACAATATTTAGTTTTGGCGTAATACCATAATTGCAAATTCAGCATAGTGCATTGCTTAAGTTAAATACTGCATAACTATTAAGGGGATATAGACAGGAAAATAAATTTGGTGACTGGTGCCCTATTAACAGACTTTATTACTGCTCATATTAGGAACAAGATAATAAATTAAATTAAAATTCCTTAAACTAATGTACATAAGAAAATAAAAATACCTTTTTAGTAAACCTAGGAGTTTTGATTTCAATAAACGCTGCAGAAACAGCTTTCATGTAACTTTTATGGTTATTAAATGTAATTCGCCCAGAACCTAAGTAAAAGTAAATTTATAAAGATAACTATTTCAAAACCAATTTTATATACTACATTTGAGGACAGATAATAACAGCAGTTAATATTCAAAATATATGATTTGAAAAAAAACTCACCAATAGGATATTTGTACTTGTCAGTATCAATCCCAGCATAAACAACTCCTCCAAACAAATCGTTCATTACTAAAGCTAAACCTTCTGCATTTAACATCCCATGTAATGCTCCAACAAAAACAGTTTTACTTGGATCCAGTCGCTGGGAAGGACAGTGTACAAAATTGCTATCACTAATGACCCATGGTATAACCTGAACCTATAAAATAACATTTATACAGTTTAAATGTTCAAAATAATAACAATGCAGTGTATAATAGAATTAGCACACTTTGAGCTGTAAATGAAACATTCATTAGTGTAAAAATTATGTAGGACCATTTTACTGGACTTCACAGATAATTACTTCAGGAACTTTAAGACATCACTTAATGAATCAAAGGTATATGGTAATTTTATATCCAGTCAGTCAACATCTGTCAAAATTTTGCTATTGTTAAACTGTGCATTCCCACACTTTTTCTCTTCAGAATAATTCAGCACACATGCACATATAAAAATTAAATTCTATCAATAATTTAAACTTTTCATCCCATCGTGAAATTAAGACTTAACAGGATAATTTTAAATTAAAAACTAGAAATGATAAATTTTAGAAAAGCATGTCTGATATTGAGGCAAGCTGAAAGTATGCCTCATTCATACCAAGTTAAAAAGTTCTGGAACAAGAAAATAAAAAGTGCTACTTTAATAAACAAATCAAAGCAAAATAGTTTTATAACTTCAGAGGCTACAAAAAAAAAAAAAAAAAAAATTGCTCACAATGGACTACCAAAAACTGCTTACAAACAAAACAAAAATTTCACGTGGCATTTTATTAGAGTGAACTGAAATCAAACTTGTACAAATAATTTTAATTACACTTGCATTCATAAAAATCTCAGCCATAGCTCTTGAACTTCATACTAACATTTACAGATAATAAGGATAATTTTGAATAACTTTATTTTACATCTTCATATATAACTGAGCTCTGTTCAAATTATACCTAGAAATATTCATTTTCAGGTATTTATACATAAGGGCAAATATTCTTAATGGAAATTAGATACATGTTATCAATACAAACTATAAAAAAACAAAAATGTAGACCTCAAAGATTCTTTTTCTTTTAGCAGAAAAGCTAGCGAAACGATCATGATAAAAGAAACAAGTTTAAACATCACTTTAACTAGCAAAATATTTAATATATACATTCTGACTTCAGCCTCGCATTGTACACCTTAGGCACCTATGATAGATAACCACATGTGACATACACCTTACTCTGGCGAACTGTGGTGGGAATATTGGGTTCAAAGTTACAAAAAGATATTTCCATTAAATTAAGATTCTTATTTAGTATCTAGTTTCTACTTTAACATTTGTCACCAGAAAAATAATTTCGCAAAGAAAAGGTGTATTACAATTAACTATGAAACCAGGACGGGTAACCGTAGAAATAGGTATACATCATAGATAATTCTGAAATTGAAATGCTAAAAGGAGAAGAAATTTAGGTATGTATTTGTCTTATTACATCGATAACTGTCCACATAAATTACAGAATAAAAAAAATAATGGTTTTGGTAATTTTAATCATGAAGTCTAAAATCTGACAAAATTATGGACCCACAAATCTAGTGTTAAAATGGTCATACATGAAGATAAAAAATTTGTTTTACCTTCAAAAATGCTATTATCTATGTCAGAAGCTACATTTATCAGACCACATTAAAATCTGGTCAGCTGGGTCATCTCGTACATCATGCAGTTTTTACTCATTAAAAGTAAGAAGGTTATAAGATAAACTATCTGCTCAACTTGCTATAAAAAGCTGGCAGTATTTTTTATCTTTTACTTATTTTTAGTGCAAGTTTCAAAGAGTACAGTTAAATTTTAAGGCATTTTTTGAAAGCTAAATAGTGGCCAAAAGTACATTCCATATTTTGCTTAACAATTTCAATTAAATAATTATTAATGCAGTATATGGACATCAGGCAATAAATATAAGGCAGTGTCAACAATGAAGTTGGAAAATAATCTAGAAGATAAGCCTTTTCCTCTATGAGCTGTAGTGCTTGACAAGAACCATCAGCATAGCATGGAACTAATCCCAATTATTAATAATTGACTATGAAGGACAGTTATATTAGGAAAACTACTCCAATTTTGAAAAATAAGTGTAAAAACTGCATTTCCTATGAAGACCAATACACACATTTTGGTGAATACAACCAATGATTTGCATAGATAGAATAACAATGCATTCGACATTGGCTCTGGCATTTCAGCATACAGTAACAATACTGTCCAGAAATTTTTAAACAGATTCGAAAGACCCTCCAGGGTTTTAGAAGTTCCTAATACATTATCTATAAAAAATACAGCAAAAAAGGTACATAATAAACAAAGACTGTCCATGTTTAATAAGCACTTACCAAATAATATATATATGCATAATCAGTGAAGTGCTTAAATATCAGTCCTGAATCTAAGATCCTGCTGCACAAATTCAGATGTTTCACAACTGATACCAATGATTACACAAAGATACTTCTTTGCAACTCTGCTAAATTACATAGCAAAGGAGATATGAACGTATGATCTTTGAAATAAATATATATATACAAAAATAATAAGGTCATATATGAAGGGAAGATTTATCTAGAAGCATATCTAGTACAATGACCAGAAAATTCAGCATTAAGCAAAACCTTGCTAAAAAATTAAGTTTGACTTCACAGTTGCAGTACGACTTATCAACACCTCATTTGTAAAGTAAAATGGTCTACAGCAGCTAAATCAAAAATTCTATAATGGGATTTATGGGTGAAGATTTGGAAAGATTATGTACCAATATGAACACTTTTCTGCTATTTTGTTAACTGTATTTTACACCTTCAAAACCTTGGAAATAATTATTAATTATTAAAACGATTTTACATAGCTAAAAGGTATGAAACTATGAAATATAGTTACTTCCAGCAAGAATTTCATGAATAGTAGAAATAATAATCATGAATAGTAATGAACATTTTGAAATTATAATAAATATTCCATGAAACAAAAATTTACGAAATCAAGTTTCCAGAAATTATATCTGCATGCAGCACTATGCTAGTTTTCAGTACATGATATAATAACTTGGCTTATTAAAATATAGCCTTTAAATATGAAAATATTTTACTAGAGACGTATTTTCATTTGCCTGAAGAACTGGGATATTTATAATGAAGAAGCAGAACATTATGACCACCTAATTCAATAGTGCATTATGCAATCTTTGGCTTGCAAAACAGCTGCAACTTGCCTTAACATGCATGCCACATGTTCTTGCTAGATGACTGGAGAAAGGTTGTACTAAATGTCTATGCAATGGTCATGCAAAGTGGAGATTTTCCAATACAGTGATATTCAAGGTCAGAGTTGCCACTCCACAACATCCCAAATGTGCTCTATCAGGTTAAGACACGGCAAGTAAAGGTGGCCAGAACATTAATTGGAATTCATCATTATACTCCTCTAACCACTCTCATTTAAGCCTAGTGATATAGGACATTGTCCTGCTGGAAGATTCCCTTTCCAGTTAGGAAGATGGACACCACATAAGAGTGCAACTAATCCGCAATTACGTTCAGATAACCAGCAGTGCTCATGGCATGTTCTATCGCAACTAAGGGTCCCAGAGCCACCCATGAGAATGTCTCCTAGAGCATAATACTGCCAGCACCAGGTTGTGTATGACCTGCTGTACGGGGGTGAAACAACTATTATAAGACCAGGCAACTCTCATCCACTTATCCGTGGCCTAGTCTCAACATTCATGGGCCCACTGTAGACGTAGTTGGCAATGACTCTTGGTCAACAGAGCCACACGAGTGCGATGTCTGTTGTGCATTCCAATATCCAACAATGTCTACTGAACTGTTATTCTGAAGTACTTGGACTTGTACTTTATTGAGCTATCAGCTGAGTCACTGTCTGGCACCAATTTTACAAGATAGTCTCCAATGTCCTTTTTATTTGATCATGCATTGATGTACAACACCTTGTTGGCTACAGCTGGTTTCACCATCATTTACCCACTTTGCATAAATACCAACAGCAGACTGTAAACAACCTACCAGCTGTTCAGTTTCGAAAATACTTTTTCCAAGTCTTCGGACCATTAGAATCTGCTCTCTATCAAATTTGTTTAGATCAGTAGCCTTTCCAATTGCTCACAAAAGTTCAAGTATAATTCCTTACCTTCTCTAGCAGCAGCTAAATACCATTCCCTTTATGTCATCCAGAAGAGTTTTACTGATAAATGTGGGGATGCTCATGTTTTGGCTTATCAGTGTGCATGCACGAAACCAAAAAATGTAAAGCAAGTCACTTAAGTCAGAAAGGAAAAAATTATTGAAAAATTATAAATTTGAAACTTAAGCTTTAGCCAAAATTATACTCAAACACAGTTAAATCTAGAGTTTTTATAATTAGGTTTTTCATATTTTGATAATAATTTAGAAGTATTGTAAGAAACCAAGGGCATTTTTAAAACACATGCAAGATTATAATTTTAGAAATATTCAAAAAGTAACCTTACCTCTTTCGATCGCATTCTCCTAGATGAAATTTTAAAGTACCAATTTCCACCATTGCTATAATCATGAGTACAAGCTTGAAGCAGAGCTTTGACGTGTTTCTCAGCTTCAAAAATTATGTAAACATACCCGGCTGAAAATAAAAATTGATTAATAAAGATGCATGACACAAATCAACTATATCAGAGACAAATTAAATTTCACCTTTAGCCTATAAAAAATCTTTTACCTTTAGGAGGATATGAGGCACTACGACTATCTTTTCCAGGCCATAAAATTTTAATTGGTCCAAAAGGAGCAAATGCTTCAACAAGGCCAGCTGTAGGAAAAATTTACAGAAAATTTCAAGGCAGGAAAATTTTACTTTAAGTCCATTATATATGTTACTTTAACGTGGTATCCCTTCAATATAAATATTTCATAACTTACTTTCAAACACAAGAAAATTATTTTAATACTAATATTTCTGCATATTCATCAGAACTTAATACATAAATCAGTTTTAAAATAAGGTCATAAATCACTAATATATTACTGTGCTCATTTTTATAATTTAAAAATGAAAAAGATTCAAAAGCCTTTGAACTGATCTGTACAACCAGGCTATGTGAATAAGTGGCATTTCAAGTTTTTCTCAATCTTACTCTTTTGAAGTGACTGTTAACAGCAATATTTTAAACCAATGTAAATGCAACTATCAAATTATCAACTTTTATTCCTAGCCTACTAAATATAATTTCACAATTTATGTACAGTTCTGCCAACTCAGATGACAAACCTAGCAGCTGTATTTTATAAAGCCATTTAGAAATTACTTTGCTTTATATAATATTTTATTTTGAAAATCATTATGATCTAAAAGAAAACAAGCATTAGAAAACTTGCAAGCTGGAAAGAAATTTCGCAGTATGCTTCTCAAAGGGTTAAACGAAATACAATAGAAACCTCTCACCTACCGTTCAGTCTCTTAGTTTAAAATACTGAAAACATAATATTCTTTAAAACTATTATCTCAACAAAGTTTTTACGACTATGGCTGCACTTTACTTTTTAAGGATTCTTTTTCAACTGAAAAGTTTATTGACCATTTATACTGTAAAATATAGTATAAAAGATGTCTTCACATCAAAAATATACACTTAGTATAAAAGATATCTTCACTTAAGTATAAAAGATATCTTCACATCAAATATACACTTCTAGTGTTGGTATATATTGTATATTTTATCTTCACATCAAAAATATACAATATATACCAACATTAAAGTAACATGAAAATGTATAACATACTAACCGAAATATACATAAATTGTATGCAACTTCCAAAAAATAGCAACTACAAGTTCACAATAACACAAACAAGAATGAAAGGAAAAAGACCTAAAAATCTGTGATAATTCTACATGCAAACATAAATTTTGTACTACCTTCGCATACTTTTGTGCAAGAGCATTGCAAACTGTTATATCTGTACAAGTGTACAGCAGTTAAGTGCATTATACAAATACATTCCATATCCAGTAAGACTAATTGATCATGTCATAACCAAAGTTCCTTCAAAAAATTTTTATACTAAATAAGTATTATGTAAATATCAGCACTATCCTGCATTAACAGAAATGTAAGGCCAACTGCATATATGAGCAAACAAATATGAGGTACTACCTCATTACAATAGTAAATGATTATACAGCAGTTTCTAAGAGAAAAACATTTACGTTCATTTCATTCATTTTGTAGCCTCCCCACTATCATACAGGATATATTTCTCACTTATGTAGATAAGCATGCCACATTCTTGGCACAAAAAGAAATGTTAAAAATCATACTGCAAAATGTTACAAAAGGAACAGTTCAAAGTCTTTGTGAATACACAGATTTTCATAGTGATATTTTCTTCTTTAACAGATTCTACAAACAATAGCTCCAAAATAATAGATTTTCAATATGACAGTTTTTAAAGTTGAATGAAGTATTAAAATTTATAAAGGATTTGGATGAAGATGACATTTTATAACTTTCATCAGATGACGATTACACTCATGCAGCAAACCCACTTGCTGGAATGTAAACCAAGGTCAAACTATTACTGTTCAGTAGTTTTACTGCATTGCAGTTCATGGGCCAATTGGATATCTATGGAGAAAATTTTTGTCGATTTGCTCCACGGCACTAATACGTTTTGCTACTGCGTGGTCAGATTGATGAAATCCTTCAGCAATTACACGTTTATTACTGCTTAGTGTCACTGCAAGTCTCATAACCCATCAGAATGAACTTTTTTGGAAAAAAATTCTCGATGTTAATTTAGATAAATATAACAAACTTCATGTAAAGAATAGGTATTTTCGGCTATCCACGTCATAGTAATGTACGAAGGTTGATAAAAGAATGCACTTAAACTTATTCTTGGCAAAAATTAATAATGAAAAAATATTCTTAAATAAACACACATATAATCCAACTGTTTCTGCCACTAAATAAACTGTTCATATGATTTTAAAAATCAATGTATGTATTACATCTTATAAAAGAAAATTATTAAATTAATAATGAAATTTTATATTTTTTTTGGCAGGGAAAGGAGAGGCTCTTAAAATTCCTTTCCATTACTACATTTAAAAATGTTCCAAAATTTCTACAACACATTCTATGTTCAATGTTTTTATATATAAAGTAATGCAAAAGCTCAGTATTATAATATCAGGAGAAAATGCAATTAAAAATTCTATTTGAAAATATAACCTTTTATCTTCAATGTTCTCTTCAACTGAATTTGCTACAGCATTTTTACGATGAAACCATTTCACTCTTGAAGAAGTATTAGAAGTACAAATAAATCTCCATTTGAAAAAAAATGGTACCGCCAATAAGTTATGGTTAAAACTGAAGTAAAACATCACATTGTTAAGTTGGATATGTCCTAATGCAAATGACAGTCATTTGAGGGAACTTTGACCAACTACATTAATTTCAAGAAATCTGTGGCTGAGATATCGATTGTTTGGTGAAGCAGCCTTAAAGTGAAAGATGTTGTAAGTGGTCTCAAAAGTTTAAGAACGGTGAATTTAACGTTGAAGACAAAAAATGTGGCAGAAGGATAAAAGAATATAAAGATGCAGAATTGGAAATACTACAGAATGAAGTTTCATACCAGAAGCAAGTAGAACTTGCACTTACATTAAGAATGACTCAACAAGCAGTTTCACGTCATTTAAAACGATTGGGAATAATTCAAAAGCAAAGAACTTGGTTTTCATATGAGCTGAACCTGAGAAACATCGAATGCCAATTTTTTATACATTAAATGCTGCTTATCAGGCATAAAAGAAAAGGTTTTTGTATTGTATAGTCACTGGTTATGAAGAATGGATTCTCTATGATAACCATAAAAAGAAATCATGGCTTCAACACCGAGAGCCAAGTTAAATATTCATGAAAAAAATCGTACATATATAGTGGGATCAACTTGGTGTCATGTAATTAAGAGTTGCTCAAACCAAACAAAATTATTACTGGGGCTTTCTACCAAACAAAAAGTGAACCCAGCATTCAAAGAAAGAAAAATACACCTACTCCATGCATGACAAAATTATTCTTCGGTATGTCCACATGTTATGGTGCCAGTCAAAATTTTCAAATGAGAAATTTTGTTTCTCTCACTGTATTCATCAGACATTGATCTTTCCAATTACTACTTGTTTTGATTTAAGACACATGGCATCTCTAAACAGCACTTATCATATGAACATACCAAAAATTGGATTGATTTATGGACAGCCTTGAAAGATAACAGCCAGAAAGATGAGAAAAAGTAGTGGCTAGCGATAGACAATATTTTGAATAAAACATAACTCTATTTTACAATAAATACCCAAGTTCTGATAAAAAGATGAGGATTTATTTGTACTTCTGACAGAGTCACAGAAAACTTTCATTTTTTCACAAATAATGTTATTCAAAGCAAGCTTAGGTATTAAATATGAAATGAAGAACATGTGAGAACTTTTTTAAACATGAAATACTAAGTATAACTGCAGTCTTATTTATTCTTTACATTATTTATCAGCATAAGCACTAAAATACAAGAGCATTTAAGGCAGGGTTTCTTAAAACTCATTTTTATTACTATTCTTACATCTCTGAAAAATTTAGGGATTTTTAAGAAGAATGTTCACAACACATTGCCTAGATAATAAAAACAGCATATTCTATTTATTTATGAACATTTTGCATTCTCCAATAAACTACAACTTTATTTACACACAATGAAATTATGAAAGCTACATAAGAAAAAATAACAAGTATAAGAATTGAATATATATACCTTCCGTTATATCCCAAGGAACACCTCCCAAAAACACTTTACAGGAATAAGTAGGGTTCTTATGAGTACGAGGAGGTAAATGACCACTCCATGTACAATTAGCTTCACAAAATGCTACAAATAATTCAAAATAAAGAAGAAATTAAAAAAATTTTCATGGCAGACATATTTTACGTAGACATACCATTATTCAATCTTCAAAATTTTTGAAGAAGTCAGACTGAACATTCACATTATCTATTTCTGCATAGACCAATAAATACAAGAATATAATTTCTACAGGCAAAAAATAAAAATATTACTGAAAAAGGCAGTTTTTGACAACGTTCTTTTAATTTCTATTTCTCAAACAGAAATGCTATCCTGTATAAAAATTGACTAGCATAAACTATTACGATTGATTATGCAATATTAATGCAGAAGCTTATTTCCTAATTTTAAAAAGGATTATAAATTTATCTATTAAAAATCTACTAACCAGGAATAAAAGAAACATTGCTACTGCCAAATGCTATGACATTCTTTAATAACATATTTAAATTTTGTAATAGCCAAAATATGAGAACAGCCAATAAACGAGAAATCTTAAAAGAAAAAGAACTTGATAGAAATTAATCAATATAGCGTTTTGTTAATTTTTATGATTATAAAGCATTACATAACAATATTAACTGCCCTAATGGAGAATTAGCATAAGTTTACCAAAATATTTTAGCTTGACTTTAATACTCAGCTCATTTTTTTAACTTATGTCAACATCTAGCGAGCATTTCAATATTTGACACAGAATATTAAAATGCATTAAAAAATATCTAAAAATGAAAAAGCCAAAACAAAAAAATTCACATATTTTATCATTCAGTATCGATTTTCAATTTTAGGCACATGCGCAGATCAACGTTTTACAATGGATTCAATACCATACAAAGTTCGAGATCCGGACTCGTCGGGACTTCTGCGATTCTGGATTTTTCCAGTTTTAGATCATCAGTTTAAATCTAGTAAGATGGCATGTAGAAATTATAAAATATGAAATCATGATTTATGAAATAATGAAGCATTTATGATGTCATGAGTATCAAAATTTACACAAAAAAGCTTAGTTTACTTTATTAAACATTTCTTTCAATGCAAGTTGCTACATTTTTTTGTGCTAATACTTGCTCTTTAATTCTATAAAATAGACAATTTCTTGTTCAGTTACATTCTTGATCTCCTGCAATTGCTGTGTCGAGAATTCCGACTAACTCGTCAAGTCGATCAAAATTTTAGTTTTTAGTAACCTCTGTCTCTTTCTTCACTATCAGTAGTTGTCTTTTATGGATCTAGATTACACATACATTCTGATACTACAGATTTCGTCATCCATTAATTGACTGGAAGAGCATTGTCATCACAATGAAACACTTTTACATGATCTTCCTTTATTACCACTACTCCCCATTTCTTTACAAAATCAATGAAAAATTTCACCTTTGGTTTGCAATATCTGAAAACCATTAAAATTTGCAGCTATCATCATAAAATTTAACTATCGTTTATTATATATACTTGGTTATGGATTACGAGATTGGCAACTAATGACAAGTTGTTCCGCTAAATTTTATCTTCTATTGCGCACCGAGATAATTAAGCCTGAATTGTATTAGTTTAGTTATCTTATATATATGCGGTTTAAGTGTTTGTCTGCGATAGTTTATCGATTGTTTGCATAACTGTAAATTGTTTTATTCCCCGTGCAGTGCAGCACGACAAATATTATGAAAAAGCTAAGCTGGAAAAATTATAAATACAAGAGCATGTGCATTTAACATTTAATAAATAAATTCAACATCTATATATAATAGAATTCGGAAATATGCAACCGGCAAAACCCAGCAATGATGAAAAAACAAATGAAATAAATATATTATATGCGGCTTAAGTGTCTGTTGGTCGCCGATAGTTTATTGGTTGCTTGCGTAACTGTACTAGCCAATGGGGGTGAAGTTGCCACAGCACAGAGTTGCCGTTTCAATTGAGATGTAGACAATTTCCTGTAAAACTTGCCTTTGCTATGACCATCAATAAGCCTTAGGACCAAATGCTTAAGTGCGTTGCCATTTTTTTACCTCAGCCTGCATTTGGACACTCAACTTTATGTTGCCTGTTCAAGAGCTCGTGAAAAAATGGACGTAAAATTAAAAATAATTGATGATCCTCTGCAAGGCGAGCTTAAAAATGATGGAAAGATCTACACAAGAAATGTTATGTACAAAGAGATCTTTGACATGTGAATTAACATTTTATTATTTAAATCACCTTTATTTATTGAGCTAGCAGTAGCTCTTAAGAAATGTACCACCAGTGGTTTCCTTTATTGCACTGTACTTTAAGTAATTAAGCAAGTAGAAAGAGGGGAAACCCCGTGGGACAGTAAATGAAGGTGCGTCCTCGCTGCCTGCCCTGGGTAATTCAGTTTGAATTAGCAGACACCTTTGCACAAATCATTTTAATTACAATTTATAATATCTAAAACAGCGGTTATTTCGTATGACCGCTGGGCTTTCTAGTTTATTATACTTATGTGTACTTCTTTCCCTTGTTTAAGGCTTATCCAAGTCCTGAATAAATAAATTCCCCATATACTTAAGGCTTATTGAAAGCCGGTACTAGGTATCTTACCAATAATAAATGATGCAATAAATGACTACTTAGTTCCAAATGCTCTAGCATTCAAATGAAATCTTTCTATTATAGAATTTCCAAGAAATTCAAAAATTCTTAACATTTGATGTTTATAATTGAAGTGAAAATTTAATAAATATTTAAACTCACCAGCAGCATTTCGATACAGCCGTGCAGCTCTTTCAATAGAATCCAAATCTCCATAATTGGCATTTAAAACTGAATTTACGGCCCACCTTCGATCTAGGAAAAAAGGTGAAGAAACAACTGGCATATCTACATCATTTCGACATGTAAGGTTACCATTTAAAGGTGATGCAGAAGTGACTCCTGATCCCGTACCAACAGTTGTTCCCAAATTCAAATTGTTCTGCAAATATATTTAGATACACTATTCATAACAAAAAATAGGTTCAATCAATACAAGTTAAAATAGCATTTTTAGGTATATTTTTTCAAATTTAACACATAAAACTAACATTATATCATACAGATACTCAGCCTTACTCGAGAATATACTGAAGTTTTCAAAAAATAAGATGCAAACAAATAAAGACAGGAGGGGGAGGCCAGCTGAAGATCTTAGACCAAGTACTCTGTGCCCCCCCCCCAAAAAAAAAGAGAGAGAGAGAAGAGAAGGGACAGTTCTACATCTGTTCTACTGCACCAATTAACAAAATTCAAATTGCATTTTTCAAGTCTCGAAAACTCGACTTAGGATATATATTAGATTCATACATAGCATTGTTCTAAAATAGATATTTTGACACAAAAATCTGACTTTTTTAAATAACATACCATTTTTTTCATATTTCAATTCTACAACTCAAATAAGTCATTGCGTTTCTACTTCCAAATAACTTTAGCAAAGTGTTTAAACCACATCTGATGTTTTAACACTTTCAACAAACATGCCAAATTTCAAAATGCACCAATATATAAATTCATGTACATCTTCGAAAATTTTGAATAAAAAATTCCAATTATTTGCTGGTATGCTTAGAACTGTGTCAACTTTTAAGATGATGGTAAAAATTTTAGATTATAATTCAAAAAATTTAGAAAAAATAAAAATTATTTAAAAATACAAATTTTAAAACTAAATCAAAAAATGAATGAATTTTATTTGGAATGAACCTGAATTTTGAAATGTGAAAGAAAGAATCAAACAAGCTAAATAAAAAAAAGCAAGATTAATTAAATATATACCAAACTCACAACACTGAGGAGCAAAAATTTTAAGAGAATTTTTTAAAAACTACTCGAAAATTTTTACGAAACTTGGTAGTTTGGCGTAATTTGAACCATAGAATTGAAAAATGGAAAAATTGGTATGTTATTTCAGAAACCGTACGATTTTGTGTCAAAATACGTATATTAGAACAATGTTGTATATAAATCTAATACATATACTAAGTCATGTTTACGAGACATGAAAATCTCAAATTGAATTTCGTCAATTGGCCCAGCAGAACGGGAGATATAAAACTGTCTTTTTTTTTTTTTGGCGCAGTGTACATATTTGTATTACTTTGTTTTCAATATTTATATCTCCTTTTATTAATTTCAAACTTCAAGACTTGTACTGTAATATTTTGCTTTGACTCGTTTCTTAATTTGATAAGCACCAGATCTTATTTTATTCTTATAGACTTTTAATAATGCAGTTATAGATTTCACTATTCCAGTACAATTACTGCTCATAGATTTTGCAACTCAGCACAAACCAATAGAAAGTGATAAATTTGAGAGTTATAAAATTGTTTACACATTACATATGCACAGTTTTTTTACCAGCTAACAAATAAGGTAAAATATACTAATATTTTAAACTACTTTAATTATACTTAGCAATTTAAAGATAATTACTTCATGTTTGAACAAATCTAGCTCATATTTGACGTAGGCACTATAATCAAAAGAACTACATGACTTGTACTGCAGATTTTTATCTAAGCATTAAACTAAGCAGGCCTCATCCTGGAAAATTATCCAGCAATCTGAGTAACAGTTAAGAACTCTCAAGAAACCAGCTGAATTTAGTCAAGATATTGTAAATATCACACTTTGCACAATTTATTTTGAAGGATAACACTGCTTTATCTTCAAATTTTTTTCAAGACACATTTCAGCAGTAATTTTTATGACCAAATCACAACACCAAAGTCTAATCAAATTTCGTTAATAAATTGGATAAAAGTGCTTAAAAAGAACAAGTTTTAAACAAATAATTATGAAAAACAAGTTTCAAAATAATTGATATGTCCGAGTTTAAAACAAGAAACGATGATATCAGTCACAATTTACAATATTTTAAGACTATCAAGCTTCTTTAAATTCCAAGTTCTTTCACTTGTATAGCTATTACAGATATGAAAGAACAAATGTTCTATTAAACATTGTTCAAACAAACAATGTTGACATTTGTTTAATAGAACAAATGTTAACTATAGAACAAACTATAGAACAAATGTTTAAAAGAACATTTGTTCTTTCATACATATGTAATCTTTCCATAAAATGAATTACCGAGTTTCCGCAAATTTACTGAAAATGAATACTATTCATAAAAACTTTGGGAAAACACGACATTTCTTATTACTGGCTGCTATAAAATATGAACCATAAGAAAAATAGAATAATTTAATTACCATTAGAAAGTTAAAATTTTAAGTGAAAAAAAACGACACTAACAAAAGATACATCAGGATTGCTAAGAAAGATTTCTTAATAATTTGGTTTGGAAAATATGGAAAATATTAAAACTTGCCATCAGATCAGAAATGCTGCTCAGTTCAGATACACTACTGATTCCACTGGTATCAGATTCAGTTGGAGATGAGCTTCTAGTTTCACGATAATTTTCACATCCCATTAGTAATGCTTGTTCAAGAGAAGATGTACAAGAATCGCTAAAACACGAGTTAAATTATTATAACTTCTCATTTATTACATAAAAAAAGATTAAGGCAGATTTTAAAATGAGTTCATCTAAAAAATCTTACACTACCTCATAGACTTATAAACCAACATTTTTAAATAATGTTTTTAAAGTTTACAATATGGATAACAATGTAAAAATAAAAAACCTGATGTGTATACCACACGACTTTCTCTTATGGAATATTAAATTATTTGCATTTTTTGCAGAATAGTCATCAGCAAGCTTGTTGTCACAGGAATAATTTGACAAACTGTAAAATTCTTCATCATATTCTATTCTATAATGGGCAATTTTTAGGAATCTTTCGTAAAAAAGATGAGTTATTAAAAAAACACAGTCATCAAACAACCCAACAATAAATAACTTGTAGAAAACATGTTTTGTTGTCTACGGTGGTTTAGTAAAATTTTGCACAAAATTAGTTCCACCATTTCCTGTTTAACGTGTGTTAAAAAATCTGATATAGCCAGCATGACTTCCTACGAATTCCATGCTTTAAATAACATTTTCTATGTTTAAATAACAGTAAGATTTAAGTACAACTTCCAGTTGATGAATTATGAGCAAAATCCAATTTGTTGTTCCAGTAATAGAAAGGTCTAATATAAAATTTTGACCATGTGTAAAAATTGTTTTTCCTGAATTTATACCAACATAAATATCATTCCCTTTATTTTCTTTTACTAAAAACTGTATTTTATTGGGCAGTTGAATAACAATTTAATTGGTTTATAATATATTTAAAACAAATATTTTAATTTTCATAATTTAATTTTAATCAAATTCATATATCAATTTAATTTTCTTTGCTTCCATAGCATCAACAATTTCTACAATACTAACAATTCTAACTTCACTTTGATCTCCATATACATCACTGTGATGTTCAGTTATCAGCAAATAATGCTCAGTCAAATGTAGCAATATATTATGTTAAATGTCGCAAAATTTATTGGTTTCAAATAAAGTATTACTGTTGCTTCTCTATGAAACATTTATGGACTTCAAGTTAAATACCACTTCCAGTTGTCCAGTTTTACCCAAAATCCAATCTCTTTAAGGCAAAAAGCATACACATAGAAAACAAATTTTTGGATGTTCAACATCATAGTTAATGGAAGAAAAGTTTGTTAAATTGGTAAAAATGCGTTGTGGGGACCCTAATTTACCAAAACTATTGAAACTTGGAAATCTTACTATCGAATTTTGGACTGAAAACATTACCTGCCTTGCCTGTGAATATAGGATTGGTAAGAGGTAAAGCGATACATCTTTTTTCAGCTTTTTATATCTTTATCCAGGGTGGCTACCCAGTTTCTTTTCAGATTTCCATTCTCTCGAAGAATTGTTAACTCCGGCTAAATGTGAAATTTTCAAAGTTCTGTTGATGTGATGCAGCTCCAATTCAATAGATTAGAGCTTTCGACTTATGAATAGTTTACATTAAAGATGCAATCTTGGCTCAAATTTATTGGTTAATACTAACCACTTTATTTTATTCAGTACAGTTTAACTTGTTCAAAAAATAACTTATTCTGCTGAAGAAACTAAATAAAAGTGAAAAATTGATCTCCAAACATAGATTAATAATTCTCGACGTCACTTAACCGATCACTATCGGTTCAACAGCATACACAAGTCCTATCGGCCGCAGATTCTCCCTAATAAAATGCAAATGATATAGTGAAGGGCAATCGTTTCTCGCCATGGCTACCGATTGATAGGCTTTTTAGGTAGCCCCGAAAGAAAAGCAATTGATAGGCTATTTTTAGGTAGCCCCGAAAGGAAAGTGCTTAATAGGCTATCTGTTGGTAGTCGTTGGCAGAAAAAAGCAGATTAATAGATGATCAGTTGGTAGGCGATGGTGAAAAAATACCAATTAATAGGCGATCTCTCGGTAGGCGTTAAGAGGAATAAACTTAATTGGAAGTAAGTACACAAGTATTTTGTTTTGATATTTACTTTGATTTTTTAAACATATATTAATTTCATATATATTGATTTTAAAGAAATTTTTGATTTCATGTAAATATTTTCTGTGTTATAATCAAGGACTTTCAAGATATGAGGTATTAACTTGATATATAGTGAAGTACTATTTTGATTGGAAAACTATCACTGATTTTACATAAACTATCACTTGTGTATCATGTTTGGTTCTGAAGTATTTAAGCTAAATACTCGATAATGTTTACCAGCGTTTATGAAATATATTACCATATTTTAAAGACAATAAGAACAAAGCAATATTTAATGCTCTGCAAGAAAATTTATGCTTTTTCTGAAAGTAAGGAATAACTAAGTATCATTTTGGTAAAATTAGAAATTTGAGATAAAGTAAGTACGATGCATTTAACTTTAATATTATGCTTAGTTTTAGTACACTAATTATTCATATGTTCTACATATCTACTTCATATGTTCAAAATGTAGTGTTTTTAATAGTTTCCATATGAATACACGTTACTCCTGGCTAATGCTTCATAACTAAAATTGAAAGCAAAATGTTTTCAATTTTAACTATGAAGTCTTATACCCAAATTAAAAAAAAAAATTTAACTTAAAGAATTCATTATGAAGACTAAAAATTATAAGGAAGAGTTTGTGAAACTATGATATATGAAAAACACAAAGAAAAAGACTGGTTATCAAACAAGCAACTTAACAGAGCACTCCTCTCATTCTGAGGCTGGACTGGTCGAAGGGACTTATCTTTTCTAGCCCTAGCTTTTACGACTGCTGCCATTAGCAGTAAATGAAAAGACAATTACACAGTGACCCTGAAGTTGCTATCATACAGATATGTATTGAACATATCTGTATGAAAGTATTCTACAGATAATCTTATGTTCTTTATATACTCCTGATATATCCCCTGAAGTTGCTATCATACAGATATGTTCTTTGCAATTGTTCCTACGGTAGTTTTTAAGCTACTTATTATTACTGAAAGAAATTACTTTCCATTATAAAATATTTTATTTGACAATTTCAGCCTTTAAAAGATTAAGTATTAAAATTTTCAGATTTCAAAGCCACTAATATAAGTAACTGTATGTGCAAATTAAAGTCGTATATAATCAAGAAAAATTCCTTTAAATTAGTTTGTTGACTACATAATATCAAAACTTCACAGGCTATTTTGAAATCTAGTCACACTAATTCTCTAATTTTAGAAAACAGTCTACTAATCCTTAACACTTAAAAATTCAGAAACAATTTTATACAAATTTGAAAAATACATACGAAGTAAATGACAACTGTGGTGATGCAGCTCGAATTGCTCTCATGCCTGCAGTTGAAGTATTGCTTGACCAATTCTGTGATAATAACTTGCTCAATGGGTTACTAACATCATAAGGCTTAGAACAACCGTAACTGAAAGACTTCAGAGGATTATTCTGCATAGAGTTGTAACTTAAATTAGAACTGGTTCCATAAGGAATACTGTTAGACGTGTTTCCATTTGGAATATTTAAACTTGGCAAACCGAGTATATTAGAATTGGAACCTAGAAAATGGAAGTTTAATGAGATGACTTATAAAATATGATTATTTGACACACCCAGAAATATTCCATTTGAAACAATATGTATAATATGAGAAATAATAAGAATGAAATTTTAAAATATATTTTAAAGCTTACCAGAAAAATTAGATCGACCTCCAAGACCCAACATATCAACTACTGATGAATCTAAAAGAAATTATAGTTGGTTTTGTTAGTATATGAATAGATAAATTATAGGTAGAAAAATTCATATAAAGCTATATTTTAAAGATTTTAATTTTGCTTAATAAAATTTCATAAATTCAGAAATAACTTTTTTTTAATAAAAGATAGCTCAACTTAAAAATATATTTTAAAAAAATCTTCAAAAGTAACATTAAACAGAACAGAAATGAAAAAGCTTAAATTTAGGTTTCAGAGCAAGATTTGGCATTACAGAATTATTAGACATTAAACTCAATTTTTATATTATTTGGATTATGACAAAACACACAAGAGCTATTTGTGTAAGGGATGGGATACCTTACAGGAAACTGGATGATATTCATATTGCATGGAACTAAACCACAACTCCCATACAACCAGCCTTCTAACCTGGGTCAAATTACTAGTGTTTAGCAGCCATACTATCATTAGCAGAGCTGAATTCAGTTCTTATAAAAGATCATAAAATTTAAAGAAAATCTCATTATAAGCATAACAGCTTGTAAAAACTTTTTCAGTTTAAATCATTAATCTATAATGTGCAGAATTAAAAAAAATTAATTACAAATATACAAAATTTTTTAATTTTATTTTTATGCATATCAAAATAATATTTAATTTTTTTAAAATAAAAGTTCCTTTGTGTTCATAACTCAACTGTTTTGCCTTCATCTTTTTAATATGTTTACTTTAATGATTAGAAATTTCTAGTTTAATTTAAAATCTAAATGTCAGAGTTTACTTGAAAATTTTATAAAATTGTGTTCATTTGAATAAAGTTATTAAAGGAAAAACCATACTTTTCAGTTTTGCCAGTGCAGGCAATGGATAAAGTCGCCAATAATGGTACAACTGATGCCAAATGGAATATCCTCACTGGTAATGTTTTATGCCTCATTTTCAAAACAAGTCGCAGCCATTTCTTATCAGATTGATTGTTTCTTTCAATACTGGCAAACAATGACATAGAATTTTTACTAGATAGTTCAATTTTATGCCCTAAGGCCATTTGCAGTAATTAAGATAATTAGGATGTAATCACACCACTCACCCAAATGTGAAAATACAGAAAAGGCAAAGTCAAGGGTTAAATTCATCAATTCTAAAGGGAATTCACTAGCGACGTAAAGCACTGTGATTTTACATAATTTCTGAGTAAGCCTATTTGTACAAATTGAAATAATTCTTGCATTTAAACTTTTATTCTAAATTAAGATTTAAGTTGAAATTAATGTAGATAATTACTGAGAGAATTATTTTTGTAGAGCAGTTTACGTGAGATGAGATCACTCGAGGTCACATGATATGAACCGATGAATAAGGATGCTGAACCATGAAAGCATAGTAAATTTTTAAACTGATGTTTTTTACAAAATTTTAAACGATATTAAAACATTTATGCCTTCAAAATAAAAAATTCTTAGAACTAACATTTGTTATGTGTATATTGTATGTTGTCGCCACGGAAAAGTACCAGAAAAACTTTAAAGACTAAAAGTAAAAAACACATAATAAATTTGAAATTTATAGAGATACTTTAATAATCTGCAAATATGAATACAAAGTATCTCAAATCTTATTTGAAATGATTTTCAATATTACAGAATGGCTGAAATGTAAGAGTTACAAGAATGTGGTTAGAATGACAGATTATAGCTCCATGTCAAGATTTTCACAAAAATGTAGAACACTTGTAAAATTCAATAAATTTAGAGGTGTTATTACATTGAAATAAGAAAGGCCAAATTTATAAGCTACAAATAAAATAAAAATAGAAGATTTATAATTTAAGTTGGACATTGCTATAATTTTAATTGTTTCTTGAAATGACGACAATCTTAAAAATTGCTATAACAATTCTGGTTTTCTAAAAAACTTAACAAGCCAAAGTTTTACTTGCATTAAAAGGTTTTTGTTTACTTTCAGGCAAGAGATATATACATTATCCATACCTATGGTATACATGCATCCTTTACAATATTTACTCTGTAGGGAAAGGCCCAGTATGTTAGCAGTGCATAGAAATGAAATCAGATATACAAGTCCAAAGCAATTTTAACATAAAATACAGATGGGCTCTGTCACATACACGAATGCACTTGTCTAAATTTCAGCAAGAACCGAAAAATACATTCTTCAGGTTTCTTTACTTGTGCTTGACCAGGTAGTATGAAACATAATTAGTCTCCGTGAACTTGTCGACTGTCAATATGCACATGCTAGAAGACCAAATTTTCTATTCTTTCTTGTATTTTATATTGATATTCCATTAGATTTGTATATTTGACATATCTATAAATAACTGAACACACTGTGCCTTTTCCCATACATTAGCTAGCACAAATTATCCTACCAAAAGGACACAACCTATTAACTGTCATGCCTGAGATAATCTCGGGCACAGCACTAGTGTTCGAAAATGTCACGCCCGAGTATTACTCGGGGTAATTTTTTTTTTGAGTGCATCGTATTGTTATACCCGAATATATATCGGGAGACTTTTATTTCGGCTTCATCTCTTTGTCAAACCCGACTATCTCGGGAAAAGTTAATGTGCGCTCAGTTCAACAGATGACAGCACTTTACTGAAGATTTCAAAGGTTAGAGGTTATGCTTTGGTTCAAGGTGCATGGGATCTTTTTGTTGTAAAATAGGCATCTTCAGTTCTTTGAAACGTTATATAGATGATTATGTTCTCTTCAACCGAAGATGAAGGATGTGTATTTGATGAGCAGTGTTTTGATAGGCAGTATTCATGATACTTCCATGGTCAGTCTCAAAAATAAAAAACAAATAAAAAATGAAGATATACTCAAGCCGAAGATTGTTTCTAATTATGGTCTAACTATGGGTGGTGTAGATCGCTGTGATCAGGAAATATCCTTTCATCCAACAATCCGAAAACGTCGGATAAAATATTATAAAAAGATATTTTTACATTTACTAGACAAGGTACTCTGGAACTCGTATTTGCTCTATAAAAATGTAGTTGGGAAACGCATTACATTTTTAGAATTTCGAATCCAAGTTGTAGAAGAGCTTTTACATAAATATGATGATGCAGCTTCTGGACAAAAGAATGTTGGCAGACCACCTACAATAGATAACCCTGCCCGTCTTACTGAACGACATTTTATATCCCATTTTCCTCCTATTCCTGTGAAACGTGAGCCTACAAGACAGTGCAAAGTGTGTTGTTCGAAAAAGGATAAAAATGGGGAAAAGATAAGGAAGGAATCACGATTCTGGTGTAGTGATTGTGGAGTTGGTTTGTGCTTGGAAAAGAGTTTCCAGTTGTACCACATAAGACTGAATTACTGAACTACTAATTAGGTATTCACTTATATTTATTTATGTTTTAGAAAATAGTTAATTATTTTTATTTTTAGAAAATAATGCTCCACTAGAAGCAAACTTTGCAACTGCCATGTTGAGTGACAGCTGCCTCAAAGAAAATATGCAGTGGCTACAAAACTAAAATTTTACCCATGTACGTCAAAATATAAATTTTTAACTACTTAAGTATATTTTATTTTGTACTAAACATTTGGTTTTTGCAATAAAAAATTTGACAATTTGTGTACCCAAATCATCAAAATAACTTGACAGTTAAAGGGTTAAGAGAATAAAGTAAACAACCTTTTTAAATGATTTAAAAATTAGAAGTATGAAAAGGAATAATAGTCCCATCTTGTGTAAATTTCAAAACTAAAAATAATTCTAGCTTTTTATTTTGTTTAAAAAACTCAGCTGGAAACAATTATGGGTTTACCTGAAAATCACCTTACAGATTACATAATATTATAGATGAAAAATTTCAATGCTTCTAGAAACTCGGGGTAAAAATCTTTAACTCCTTCAGGACCATGAACACACAATTCTCCCTCCACAACATCATATATGTAGGCAAGCTTTCCAAGACTTTAGGCCCATGAACAAAGCGCTTAGATTTGAAATCAGAATGTTTTATTTAAACTTTTAAATAACAGTACATGGTGACTAAAGTCTTATGTTTCTGTATATTCAACAGAAGTTTTGACCTTTAATGCACTCATACAATCCTGGATTCTTAACCCAGAAGGACTGAAAAAAACTTAACTAAGAATCTGCACGATCGCTTGCATTGTGAAAAAACAATGGTACCTAGAGCCAAAAAATTTTTAAAAACAGTCTTCCAAACAAATATAGGCAACTGGAAGCCCAAATTTAGAATTTGTTTTATTATCTATTTCATATTTTGTTAATAAAAAGCTCGTTAAAGTTTTACAAACTCAACGATTTCAAAGCAAGCAATGGCAACACTGTACAAAAAAAAAAAAAAAAAAAAAAAAAAATTATCTCTAGAGCAAGAGATTGTATTGCAAATTCTACAGATACGCTCTTAAATTATTTTGTGATATTGCTGTTGAATTGAACTTCATGCGTTTGAAGTGCAAAGAACATGATATTTAAAACAAAAGCAACATGCAAAACATTAAAATAACGCCCTTTTGAGCATAAAATAAAATCTGAAAACTTTTTTTTTTTTTTTGTTACTGTTGCATCAGAAATTTCAACATATAAACTGCCCAGAGGGCTGCATTATATTACGTGCTTGGTTTTTTTTTATATTTTTACAGAGAAGTCAAGAAAACAGCATGTAGTATGCAGAAAAATATTCCTTAAAAAGGGAAAATATATAAATTTCTGAATAAAAAACTTGCAAGCAGGGCTTTCTCTTGATAATGATTTAAAATGCATCATGCTTCAGAATTTTTCAACACTGTTTAGTAATTTGTACATTTATCTTAAATTTTATTATATTTAATTTCCCAATGTTTTATTTATATTATGAACACTTTTATGGAAGTTTGTAAAATTTTTGTAATTTACATACACTGCCGGAGAGAAAAAAATGGACAAGACATTTTTTATATTTGCCAAGACTTCTAAACTAGCATAAGATAAATAAGTAGACAATAATAAGACTTTATAAATGCAAA